GGATTGGGATAACAGTTGTATGAGCCCCTAATAAAATGTTAAAAAATAAAATAAAATAAAATGCATGTGCATCCAAAAAAAAAAATACATTTGTCAAATCTGCGATTCCATTCTTAGAAACATTTTACAAACTCATCTGTTTGGATGGCTGACAGCACCTCCCTTGTTTGTTTGTTGTTCTTCATCTCTTCTACCTGTCAAATTGCTGTCCTTTCATGTTCCTCTTCATTCTTGGAAACAAAAAGAAAACCCACGCAGCGAGATCAGGTGAGTCAGGTGCATGAGGCACAAGAGGTATACTGTTTTTTGCCAAAAAACTGGCCCATCGAGTTGGCTGCGTGAGCAGGTGCATTGTTGTGGCAAAAGCAGTCCCCTGCCTGCCACAAATCAGGCCTTTTTCAGTCACACACTGTTATGCCATCTTTTCAGAATCTCTGGACAGGAAGGTTGATTCAACAGTCTGACCTGGTGGAATAAACTCCAAAAATATCTATCGACATTTTTGACAGATAGGGAAGTTGACAGATGTCCAGAATGAGGTTTGCTATCAATCGACATTTCGCCTTTCTGAAATGAGAAAACCACTCTATGCTTTTCCCATAGCGCTGTCCTTGTAAGCTGTGTTCAATCTCACAACAGTTTCTGCAGCATTTTTCCCAAGCAGGACATAAACTTTCACAGCTGCATGCTGTTCTCTTACATCGGCCATCACAAAAATGAGGTTCAAGCGAAACTGCTTTCCCCTCAAAATTCACTGTGACCAGAAAGAACCTTCCCAGGTGACGCCACTGGGTGCACTAACTCAGAGGGGGTTGTTCGATGCTCCTGGACTAGAGTTGATTCAGTCAAAAATATAGAAATCATTCTATTGTAGTCCGTGTTTGGAAGACTCTGTTTTAATCAAGAGAAGGCGAAGGTTGTCTTGTCATTATAAGGGGAGCCGCTGAAGATCTGGCCAGCGGCACCTACCCTAGTAGTGTTGCTAGTTTTCTAGTTTAAAGGAGGACCTCCCTACTATATTTGGTGTGGCATAAAAAGTAGCATTTTAAATCATTTTGGAAATTTTAGATTATTGAGGAAATGGTATCTAGTCAGTTAGATATGCACATGAAGAAGAATGAAGTTAAATCTCTCTTTTTTTACCAGGATAAATTCCAGATTTGATAGCATCTGGTTTTGATTGCTTCTTTGGCCCCAGTAATGCTTAAAAGAGTTTTTAAATTCCCAAGTGGTTGGGAGTTTTTTGGTTATTTATAGTTTTTAAAAATTATTTCACTTATTGTATTGCATTTTTCTCAGAAATATGTGTTTTCAATGTGTCAAAGCTTTCTGGGTATGTCTTTGTTCACTTTTCTAATTGCATTGGCTTACACATGTCAAATAATATGTAATGGTAGTAGTGATGGATATATATTTGTCTTATTCCTAATTTTAATGGGAATGTAGTTAACTTTTCTCCATTAAACATGCATAGTTTTAATATTTTTTCAATTTAAAGACGTTTCCAGCTGTTGGTTCGGGTTTTTTAAGTGCTAAAAAATAATGTTGACATTTCTAATTTCAGCCATGATGGAATAACAGGGTGTTGGCCTAACCTGATGCTGTAAGCAACTAAATTCTGGAAAATATGTGTATAGTTCATGTATACATCTATGCACTAATTGTTTTAGGCACAAGGATGACAGAGGGAAAAACAGAATAAGCTCTACAACCACGTATTTTGTGACTCAGGAGAGTGGAGGCTCAAGTTGAAGAGCTGCTCTGTTGGGTAGATATAGAGGTTAGGAATCAGAACCACAGATTTCTAGAGTGGAAGGAGCTGCCTAGAGAAGGAGTCCCGGAAATTACTAAGCTATGTGTGTGCAAGAGAAGATTCTAAAATGCTTGGCTAAGAATACCAGGGCGCTGTGAACTGAGCCGACATTCTGGAGGTTTTGCAATACAGGGAGGAGATTGTAGCGTTCCTACCAGTCAGAGAAGAGAGAGCTCACTAAGCATGCAAGACAGTCGTTGGGGGCACAAAAAGGCTACATCTTCAGAGAAGGTCTACTTTAGCCATATAAAGTCAAGGCCACTCTGTCTGTTTGTTGAACTGTGGCTTATATGTTGTTACAATGTTGAAAGCTATGCTGTCAGTATTTCAGATAACCAACAAGGTCACCCGGGGTGGACAGGTTTTAGCAGAGCTTCCAGACTAAGACCAGAAAGAAAAGTGTGGTAATCTACTTCTAAAAATTAGCCAATGGGGGAGTAGCAAACACCGGGGCAAACAACACGCCTAAGTTTTATTGTGACTACTGCGATACATAGCTCACCTGTGACTCTCCATCTGTGAGAAAGACACAGTGCAGTGGGAGGGAACACACAGTTATGAAAGACTATTATCAGAAATGCACGGAAGAGCAGGCTCAGAGCCTCATTGACAAAATGACGGCTGCATTTCAACAAGGAAAGATACCTCCTACTCTGTTCTCTGCTCCTCCTCTTCCAGCAGGGGCCATGATCCTGGCTCCCCTTAGTCTCCCGGGGTCCTCCTTGCCCTGGTATGATGCTGGCACCCCACATGGAGGGACCACCTATGATGCCAATGATGGTCCCTCCTCCTCCTGGAATGATGCCAGTGGGACCTGCTCCTGGCATGAGGCCATCCATGGGGGGCCACATGCCAATGATGCCTGGGCCCCCCCATGATGCAGCTCCCGGCCCGTCCTATGATGGTGCCCACTCGGCCAGGAATGACTTTCTCTGCCAGACAGAGAAAGGCAGAGCACAGCCTCTTTGTATCACTTTTCTCTTACTCGTACCCCTTCACCCGGAGCTCTGGTGCTGCTGCGACTCTGGTGTTTTTAACGGCACAGCGTGGAAGACTTGCTCCCCCTTTCTTTCAAAAAGGAATCCTTTTTCGAGTGGAGTAGTGGACAGAAAGCAGAACAAAACGATTTTTGTTTGTACTGTGACATTTGAAAATAAAAATAACTTTTAGTTGAAAAAAAATTAGCCAATGGAAGCCTTATGGAACAAGCGAGACTATTGTTCCATTTTGTGCTGGAAGAAGGATATCTGGTGGCGGGGAGGTTAAAGCACAACACTACTAACAGAAA